TGACAGTGTCATGTCAGTCTTATGCACACTCCTTCAAATAAAGTGTTACCAAACTAAATGCACTGTGTTCGTACTGATCATAGAAATGCACACGCACATATCTGACACATCATATTTCACAACACCCAACATACACAGCATTCATATAGAACTACAGTACAAGCTATTGCAGTATAGATAATATTGACATGTAATAGTTTGCCAATAGCAACGGCACCAAAGGAATAGCACAGTCTCCGTCCATACAAACTAACAATACTTTTACAAATTTAATACAGTTTAATACATTTTAACCAAGTTTGCAAAGACTTGATTTGTCACCTAGCAAAGTCAGTTCTTTTCTTCCTCTTTACGTTACTTTGCTTTAGTGTGAACTCTCAGGCACTTTCTAAAAGTTGAGCAAGGCTTGGAATTGAACAAACCTCCGATTGGCTAAGACATAGATGACTTTAGCTGCATTCAAGTCACATGGGACAAAAAACAACCTTATTACTTTGTTAAAATACTGATAACTCACATTTCCAGGTAGTAATAATTGTCTAAGACTGTCTGACCTAATGAAATCTGATGTACAACATAAATGCAAATAAGTGCTTCCATTCGTGTGCAGAAAAGTCATGAAGCCAACAGGGCCTTCAAGCATCTTCAATCACTCCATCCTCACAGATTCCATATGATGAAGTGTCTTCATGTGCAAGTGGTTCCATTCAGCCATCAAATAATTCAAATAAGTAATCCCATAGGACATGGCTGCAAAATAAGACATGATGGGCAGGCAGGAGACTTGAATCACTCAATGGTAATAGAAGCCACTTCCTTGGCTTGAAGATGCTGCTGCTCCTCCTCTTCAAATACCTCCGGGGAACTGATTCCGGCACTGTTGTCCAATCTGGTCTCCTCTGTCATGGCTGCCGTCTCATCTGTGTCCATCTTCAGGGAGGCAGGGGCTTCCAGTGGTTCAGGTGAAAGGAAGCCTGGGGAACTCTCACAGTTCTGGGTAGAAGAGGAGACCTGGGAGATGACAGACATCTGGACTGAGGAGGAGGACGAGGTAGCAGTGGTGGTGGAGGTGCTGCCTGGGTAGAGTGGGTGATGTTGGGACTCCTCCAGCTCATACTGGACTCCCAACGCTTCCTCCTCCTCTTGAACCTGGCTCAGGTAGTCGGGCACGAGGAAATCACTGTAAAAACCGAAAGAATGTGTGAGCTCACCATCCTTAAAGCAGTTACCGTAACACAAATATTGGAAGTACTTCTTATAGTTTTCACATTAACACATATGAATATACGACATCTGTAATACTGGTTTCTACCCTGTAAAAAAACAGCTGTTAACAGTTTAATACATTTGCTTTGTAATCTGCCAGTTAATCTCAAAAACACATCACAGCAAAGACCTTAGATTAAGACTCAATAAGACTGGTACTTGGTGGTGAATAAGTAGTGAACATTTGATATTTTAATCCTAATTTAATACAGTATATTAAACTAACAGAGGGACAATCTTTTCCACATATATGTAGTAAGTACATAAAATGTGTGTACGGGCAGCACGAGGTCACAGTTGGCAGAGCTGTTGCCTTTCAGATGTGGTTGAGTGGTTAGAGCAGTCGTCCTCCAATGCGAGAGTTGGGGGTTTGATTCCACCAGCAATCACATGTTGAAAGTGTCCCTGGGCAAGACACTGAACCCCTCATTCCCTGTAGAGCTATAGTAGGGGCAGCACGGTGGCACAGTTGATAGAGCTGGTGCCTCTCAGCAAACAGGTTGCCCTGGTTCAAATCCCAGCCAGAGGCCTTTCTGGGTGGAGTTTGCATGCTCTCTCTGTGCATATGTGGGTTTTCTGCAGGTACTCTGGTTTCCTCCCACATACCATAAACATGCATGTTAGGCTGACTGGTAACTCTAAAGTGTCCATAGGTGAGAGACTGAATGGTTGTTTGTCTTGTTTGCCTTTATGTGTCCCTGAGATGGACTGGATACCTGTCCAGGGTGTCCCCCGCCTCTCACACAGTGATGGTTGGATATGGGCACCTGTGACCCGTGAGACCCAAAAAAGAAGAAGAGGTAAAGATAATTGATGGATGGAAATAGGGGTGGGCAATATGGCTCAAATATTATATCGTAATATTTCAGAGCATTCTGATGACGATAAATTTTGTGATATAAGCAACCCCCCCCCCCCCCCAAAAAAAAAAAAAATCATAGTTATTCATTTGACAAAATTAACTTAATTTAATTCAATTCAAAAATACTTTATTAATCCCAAAGGAAAATTATTTGTTGTTGTAACTTGTTATACTCATTTCATTAAGAGACGTTATAGATACTGATGGCTGTAGGCAGGAAGGATCTCTTGTAAAGGTCCATCCCACAATGGATCCTAAGAATCTGCCTGCAGATGCCGTCCGATCTGTCCACCCAGACTCGGCTGGCCTCTCAGTTTGAGAAGGGGTTCTTTGGCATGTTCCCCCGGGCTGTAGGATCGCCCGAATGCCAGGCAGAACTCCTCCCAGAGTGATGGCCACTCCTCCCAGCAGTCTGCCGAGCTCCTCATCACTGCAGACAGCCAACTGTAGGTGCCGAGGGACGATCCTGTCCTTCTGCTGTCATGAGCCATGTTTCCTGCTAGTTCCAGGATCTCAGTGGTCAGGCACTCGAGCACAGTTGGCAGGTAGATGAGAATGCGTCCACAGAACATCCTTTCAACTCATTTGAGATTTGGGGTAGTTGAGATATTATTTGAGCTTTTGAGATGTTAATCAGCTGCTGTTGGTTGTAGAAAACTGCCTTGTTGCCATGGTTACGCATAATAACAAATGTCCAAAACTAAAAAAGTTTCAGTAAAAATTCTTCCAGCTGCACAGTATCTGATACCAGAAGAAACAATCATCCAAAAAATGTGCTTTACATCCAGCAAGAGAGGAATTAAATTATCCAAAAGCAAAATCTCAGAATGAAAGTAACAGCTGCTCCAACATGCAGCCACCTTGAGCGGCGCAATTCTATTGGAATATATTAACATGTTAATGTTAACATGTTGCTTTGCAGTATTATGTAAAAATTAAAACAACAAGTGTTAATTTTACTGAAATTACTTTATTTGGGAAATTATTCAGTCTCCAAAGATAACAATAAAAAATAAAAATGATCCTTCTGTTATTTAGATTGAAAAAGTCTGCACAATATATAGATCAACAAAATCTACAACAAAACTAAAGAACAGGTGAAATTTCCCCAAATAACTAAATAGAATTAAAGCTTAACAATTGTTGAGCATAATTGTAACATACAACAAAAAAATGTTGTCTTTAAATGAGCTATAACGTCCAAAACTTGACAAGGTGATCAGCTGACCCTGAAGCTTGTGGTGTTTCAGCTTCCTCTGTTCCTGCAGGAATTATTAATTTCTCTGATGCTCTGTCTTTCATCACCTGCCTCTTTTCTTGCTCCATGGACTGAGAAACTCGACACAGCAGCGCATGTTTGTACCAGCAGTTTAAAGCGGGGTGTGGGGGAGGGACAAACAGTTGAGCTGTCTGTACCTGCAGTTTAGAGCTGGGTGGAGAAAGGCAGCCAAGCCGCGCGTTGTTTGTTTTTAGCATTTTAGCTAGCTAGTACAGTGCGCAGTTCGGTTTGGTTATTTGGCGTGCTCGGTTCTGTTAACGGGGCAGGGCACCCTGACGGATTACGTCATGAAATTAGCATATCGTGAGATCATTTATTTTCCCGGGCAAGCTTTTTTTACCGGTATTATCGTGAACGATATGATATGGCCCAGCCCTAGATGGAAATATACATGTGAAGGTCAAATTGACAGTAATTTTTATTTTAAAGGACATTTGCATCAAATGGTATCTACTGTAAATGTGACCTATAACTCGTATCTTGTTTTGGTCATTACAGTTTAACATTCTGTCCTGCTGTTTGACAGACTGCACCATCCATCCATCCGTTACCTTTACCCACTTCTTCCTTTTCACATCTCAGGGGTCACTGGTGCCTATATCCAGCAGTCACTGTACAAGAGGCGGGAGAAACACGGAGAGACACAGAGACACCCTGGACAGGTTTCCAGTCCATCACAGGGATACATAGAGACAAACAAACATTCACTCACAATCAGCCTAACATGCATGTTTTTGGTCTGTGGGAGGAAACCGGAGTACCTAGAGAAAACCCATGCATGCACGGAGGGAACATGCAATCTTCACCCAGAAAGGCCCCCAGATGGGATTTGATCTGGTGACCTTCTCACTGAGAGGTGGCAGCTCTACCACTGCATCTTAATTAGTGTTTTTGAGCTGGACTAAAGTCATGTCTGCTGTTGCATTCTGAGAGGACCACTGTTAAGTTTTTGTTTTTTACCTTTGTGAAGGATCATAGACAATATGAATGCATCACTGTTACACTAGGTTAAAATGATCAATTTAACTTTATTATGATGACTAAAGAAGATATTAAAAATACTGCAATACAACTCATAATTCACAGTTAAGCTCTAAAATATCGCAATATTAATATTTAGTTTTAATGCCTTGCTTTAATAGTAGGGTAAGCCTATTACTGAGGAAAAAAACTGTACACATATGCTAATTACAAATTGCAATTTCACTTGTTTTAAAACATTTGGGCTATGGGTGCTCTTTCATGCCTCAACATATTTCCTGCTCACTCAGATGCTACGTTACATTAAAAGACCTGCTTTGAAGGGCAGCAAAAAGCGCAACTTGGCTCTAAACACTAAGGGCAGGGCTTCATATAAAACATGTTGAAAGATCAACAGCACAGATCTGGAGGTCTGGCACGATACCAACAGCTGCTTTTCTCGTTGTTGCTGCTGTGATTATCATAAAAGACAAGCTGCGAGGTTTTTCCATTGAAAGATACATCCAGTGAGTTTATGATAAGTTTCACTGGGTACTTTTCCCCCCGTAAACTACACGAGCAAGAAAACAGCCTACGAAGAACTGTTTTTGTAGAGTCAGGTCAGTAGGCAGTCCTTCAGTGTGCTTCAGGACACATGAATTTAGTTTTAAACTCACTAGGACACAAATGTTACAGACAACCTTAATACATTTGATTAGTTTGCTATTAAAACAACTCTCTGTGTACCATGAAAAACAATAACAAATTAAAGCTTAAAGACTTACATTTTGAAACAACTGCATAAAAGTTGGGGTTAATTTACCAACAGAAAACAAACTGATTTAATTAGAGCCACTGTACTAAAATGTTTCCATCAACTATGTGGTCTTGCTCATTTGATGGAGGGCCAACAGGTGAGGAACGTATTATGTAAGTTGCAGAAAAGGGGGGAAATACAAGTTCTTAGTGTCTATCCCTAGTTTTAAATATCTGCTTGGGCTCTTTATATATGAGGCAGCTGTGGCTGAGTGGTTAGAGCAGTCGTCCAATTCAAGAGTTGGGGGTGCGAATCCACTAGCAGTCACATGCCGAAGTGTCTCTGGGCAAGACTCTGAACCCCTATTACCTCCGATGTGTGTCCCATCGATGTTTGCATGTGATAAAACTCTGATTAATCTTTGTAGAGATCTAGAAGAGTGCTGTATGAATGGGTAAATGAGGACACAAATTTTGCATTCATTCAACCTTTATTAGACAGATAAGTCACATTGAGCGTAGAAGACTCATTTACAAGTGAGATCTGTTTAGACAGACAAAAAGTAATGAAACTAGACACATGTAGCAATTGGAGGTGAAAAAATTCCTATCAGAATTGTTGTTCTTGTTGCCTGAGAAGAAAAACTCTATAATTAAAAAACACCTTGCACAAACAAGCACATACATTCTGCGGGGACGGACGGACAACGAGAGCGGTGAGCAACGTTCATAGATGCTCTCGAGGGCACTGTAAGTGTTCTGTAAGTTCTGATAAGGATGAAATAATCAGCCAGAGTCCTCCGGTGAGATCCGTAAACATTCTCAGGGGATGTCGGGGAATGGCCAAGGACAACGCCTATGCCTATGGGTCCCATAGGCATATGGGTCCCATAGGGTATGATAATGGACCCTTCCCTGAAACTTAACAACCATGTAAACATGATTGTTAAACCATGTTTCTTCCAACTGAGGCGGCTGTCTAAACTGAAGCCCAAATTATCCAAAAATAACCTGGAGACAGTAATACATGCATTCATTACATCTAGGCTTGATTACT